GCGTCGACGGAGAGGCGCGGCCGCAGGCAGCAGCAGCAGCAGGGGGCGGCGGCGGTGTCGCTGGAGCAGTTGCACCGCGACTTCAAGGAGCACCTCTGCGGCACGCGGCACTACAAGAAAGCTGTGCGTGGCGGCGCCTTCATGGCGCTCGCGCGAGCCATCACAGCGAGCTACGACGCACTGAGGACACAGCAGCAGGGTCCATCTGTCGTTTCGTTTGCTGCTGCTGCAGATGGTAATTCCGAAGAGGCGTTGCTGAGCCCACTGGAGCTGTTGTCGGCGTTTACCAGCGCGTTGGACGCGATGTCCGATACCGACGACGACGTTCGCCGTGCGGCACTCGTCGTGCTGCGCGTCATCCTCCGCCCTCCCTGCGGCTCTCAGCGCGGCGGCGTGACGTGTGACCTAGATCGGACGCGTGCCGTGTTGAGCGTGGTGAACGTGACGCTGACCCACGCCATGGTGTCCGTGCGTCGCTCCGGCGTGGAGCTGCTGCAACTCATCCTGCAGGTCAGTCCACGCGGTGTTCGTGCGGTGCTGCGCGAGTCTTCAGTCTGGGTGAAGATGGCGAGTCGTGTCTCCTCCGTCGTTATGCAGGGCGGTGGCAGCAGCAACACCGGCAACACAACAGCAGGTACAGCGCCGGCGATGAAGATGATTCACGTTGTACCCGAGTTGCTCGAGACGATGCTGCGACACCGCACAGATGTGCTCGACAACAGCAGTGGGGAGGAGGTCCAGCAGGACGAAGTAAAGACGGAGGAAGTGGGCAATGATGATGGAACAGGCGGTGGTGATGCTGCTACTGGTGCAGCGCCGGAAGAAATATTGGCCCTCTTCGAGGAGTGCGCACCACGGTGGAGCATGGCGTGGAAGGAGCTGATGGAGCTGCGCGCGGCTCTCTTCCGCGATGCAGAGCGGGTACAGCGGGCCACCGCAATGGCGCGTACGTTTGCTTGCATGGCTTTGTACCTGCGCGAAGAGCGGCTACTTAAACGGTCGCATGCACAGTTGATTCGGCAGCTTTTTACAGCCAAGGTGCCGTTCACGATGCACGAGTTGATTTCTCCTACTACTACTGCTGCTGCTGCTGCTGCTGCGTCGGCGGAGGGTGCTGGTAGTGGTGGCAGTAGCAACAAGGCACGGGTGGAGTTGGCGAACGCCATTGCTGATGCATGCCTCCCTGTGGCGGCCACCGATGAAGACGCGTGGCGTGTGCTTCGGGACTTCTTGTCCATCGTCCTCCGTGGCGCGAAGGATGCGGCATCGTCGGCGCACGCTGGCGGCGACTCCAAACGTGCTGTGCAACTATTGGGCCCGCTGCGCACACTGCGGACGGCGGTGGTGCGGTTCCCTGCCAAGCTCCTACCACGACTGCTGTTTCTTGCGCCCCCGCTTCTGCAAGTTGTAACACGCTCCGCCAGCAGCATCAGCAGCAGCAGTGCAGACGCCACTGCGTGGGTGACGGTGCTCCTTGCAACAGCAGATGTTCTCGCCGTCCTGCTTGCCTCGCAGGCTGCTACCGCCTCGCCGCACGGGGTGCGCTTTCTTTCTGAGGCTGTCTTGGCGGTGCCACGGCTGCTCTTCTCTCTTCGAAGCCACGAGGATGCCGCGGTGGTGGATCGCGTTGTGTTGGCCTTCCTGCAGCCGCTCTGGCGTGTTGCGAGCACTGGTCACCCGTTGCTGCACTCCTCTGCATCCGCTGGTGGAGATGCCGCGACGCAGCTGCGCCTGTCACTGCCGTCGCTCTTTGAGCTTCGCGTGCCCAATGAGGAGAAATCTGGTGAGTACATCACACTGGAGGGTGTGCTGTGCCGCTGCAGCGACCGCACAGTGGAGTTGGCGGTGCATGTGCTCTTCTACCTTGGCGGCGAGGTGCCCTGTACACGTATGGGGAGCATAAGCGGCAGCGAGAGAGCTGCGCCCCTCGCGTTTCCAGCACTCACCAGCACCCTTCCCTGTTAAGAGGGAGGAAGGGGTGAGACCAACGCCGATCGAGTAAACTGAGGAAGCTAAAATGTGAAGAGGCACTTCAGGTTGTTGCCCTTGTATTTTGTTTGTGCTAGTTTAGTCATCTCTCTCCTTGTCGCCTCCCTCTCTCTCTCTCTCTCTCTCTCTCTCTGTGTGTGTGTGTGCACCCGATGGAACGAGTAGGCTTAGGGGACGTATATATAAGGGATTGCCATGAACACGGAGTCCACTGGGGCGGTGCAGCAGAAGGCGAAGGAGTATCTCTCCAAGGACGCTATCGAGGAGCTGCGTAACTTTGGTGACAAGACTAGCACGCGCGTACGTCATGGACTGCTTCCGCGCGACCACCACCACACCGTCGACACCGCACACGAGGAAAAGATCAACGCGTACATTGCTGAGCGGCGGACGTGGCGGCAGAATGTGTACGTGATGCGCAACTTCGAGTACTGGCGGCTGCGGGCGGAGTTTTACCCCTACATTGAGCGCAGTGACGAGCGCAATGAGGACTTCTTCCTTCGCGGCATCTCCTGCCACCCGCGGCTTAGTGACTACCCGATGTGCCGCACCGTGATACAGGACTACTTCATCTGTCGCGACAAAAACAAAGTGATGCAGCTGTTCAACATGTGCGCTCCGCTGAAGGAGCAGTTCTGTGCGTGCATCAACGAGGTGTTCGTAAAGAACCACAAGCGCGGCGACAAGAAGTTCAACGCGCACCGTGAGGAGTACTTTGAGGAGCAGCGGGAGAAGCGGTTCTCCAAGATGCTTGCGCACGCAGAGGAGTCGATGGAGCAGCGGAATAAGCTGCAGGATTAAGGGAAGCGGAGGGGGGGAGGACCACGCAGACACACGCGCGCGCATCGAAATATATACACACTTCTTTGGCGATCGAGCGCAAAAAGCAGTAGTCAGCCGCTCAGTTTTAGGTGCATGTCTTGCGCATTTTCTTTTTACCGACGCATTCGTTGTTGTTGTTGTTGTTTGTTGTTTCTTCTTGTCCTTCGTGTTGCGTTGGTCTTCAGGTGCCTCTCGTTCATGTGCGCCGGCATTCTGCGTTTGTCTGCTCTTTCTTTCTCCTTTGCTGCTGCACGTGACGCGGTGTGCAACCACAACACACCAACGTTGGGGGGGGGGATACAGAAAGTGGAGTATTTGCCGAGTAAAGGGGGGATAGAGTGGCTAGACCCGACGACACAGAACGAGACAAGAAGGGAAAAGCACAGGCACAGCCTTGTAATCACGCACGGTGGTCTGTAATAAAATGGTGAGCCCTGCTACCGTTGTGCGTGTGGGGGAACTCGCCTGCCAGCGGAACCCGTTTCTCCGTGAGCTCCGCGCACGCATTGTGTCATGCGAGCCAGCCCTTGCGAAGAAAGTGGCTGGTGCTAAAAAGAGCGACAAGCACGCAGAGCCGCAGTCCATCTACGACGTGGTTCTCAGCGACTCTGTGTTGTTCCCGGAGGGCGGTGGACAGCCCTGCGACCATGGTCTTCTTATCCGTGGCTGCAGCAGCAACGGCAGCGAGGCGGCGGGGGTGGAGGAGGAGGAGATACCGGTGCGGAGCGTGCAGCGGCGCGGTGACACCTGCGTCATTGCGTCACCGCGTCCGCTGCCGGTGGGCGAGGAGGTTCTGGTGCGCGTGGACTGGGCGCGCCGCCTCGACCACATGCAGCACCACTCCGCGCAGCACCTGCTCTCCGCAGTGCTGGAGAACCCCGCGTATGGCGGGCTGCCCACCATGTCGTGGTCGCTAACGCACCCGTACTGCTACATTGTCCTCCCGACAGGGACAAAGATCGCGGCAGACGTGATGGCGCGCATTGAGGAGGTGTGTAATGACGCCATCACACGCGCCGTGCCTGTGCGCTGTGACGTGTACCCTAGCAAGGAGGCGTACCAGCAGGTGTTGAAGGAGGAGCAGGAGAAGGAGGTGGCGGGTGAGAAGGCGCGTGCGTCGCGCGCTATTCCGGCGGATGTGATGGGGCCCATCCGCATCATCAGTCTCGAAGACGGCATCGACCGCTGCACGTGCTGCGGCACCCACGTGACGAACCTGGCGCAGCTGCAGGTGGTGAAATTGCTGCACCAAGAGACGAAGGGCGACACGCTGAAGCTCTTTTTTGTTGCCGGTGACCGGGTGCGGCGGTACTTTGGCGATATGTACCTCCGTGAGAAGGAGCTGATGAAGGAGATGGGCGGCGTGCGGCCGGAGGACTTCGTGGCGGCGGCGGTGAGGAAAGGCAAGGACTTCGTCGACATGGAGAAGCGGCTGAAGAACCTGACGCTGGAGCTCGTGAAGCTTGAGAGCGAGAAGCTCATCGCCACGGCTAAAGCCGACGCTTCTGGCAGCGGTGTTGTGGTGTTCCGTCGCGATGATGTCGATGTGGAGTTCTTCAACGCGTTGCGGGATGCCCTCCGGCAGGCGTGCCCGGACTGCGTCGGTGTCTTTGCGTGGGGCTCCTCTGCATCACCAGAGGCAGCGAAGAGTGGGCAGTTCATGATTGTGGGCCCTGCTGAGCGCGTGGAGGCGGTGGCGCCTACGGTATGCGCGGCGCTGGAGGGGAGGGGCGGCATGTCGAAGTTCGGCTACCGTGGCAAGGGCAGTCTTGCCGCGTGGGAGCGGCTCGCGGAGACCCTGCACCGCTGACACACACACACACACACACACACACGCGGCAGAGGGGGATGGCAAAGAGATTGGGTTGGGGGGGAGAGCGAAGGGAAGAAAGCCATACAGGGGAAGAAGCGGCACGTCATACATGTGTGGATCCCACGCGTGTAGTCACTTCATATCGCCTCGCTTTCACATACACACAGCATCTATATCTATAATTGTGTTGAGATTTTTTTTTTGTGTGGTGGTGGTGGTGGCGGTCTTTAAAAAAGAAAACAAGAAGAATTGATGCTGTGGGTGCGTTAGTCCCTGCCACGTGCAAAGCAGGTGTGTTGTGTGATTGTGTCTGCAAGTACAGAGCGATACCGCAGCGGTGTCAGCGTTACTCTACGCCACCTCGTCTTGCCGTCTCGTTAACGTGGAGGGTGTTTCCCCTCGCCAATGGCAAAGAGTAGCAGAAGTGGTGCTGGTGATGATCACAGCAGCCACGACGATACCAATACAATTGTAGTGAATAGAGAAATGTCCTCAATGGTGCGGCTTCCACTCGATGTCTTGCAGTTGTGCCTCTCCTTTCTTCCAGCTGCCTTCACGCTGCTCACATTGACTAGCGTCTCGTCACGCTTTGCGGCTGTTGTGCGAAGCGAGGAGTACTGGTGTAACCTGTGGGCCGACTACACTGCCGCGTGTTTCGGCCGCTACGTGCAATCCGCATCGTTATCAACCGAAGGATCACCGCCAACGATAAGCAGAATAGATGCGGGTGGAACCGCCGGCGTCCCTGTTGCTTCATGCAGGCAATACATATTATTTCTGGCGTCGATTTCAAAGGCCCCGCAGCTGTGGTTGGGTTGCTTTGAGACTAACGGCAAAATGAGATTTACAGAGATCGACGACGTGATAAAGATTGGACTTCCAGTGAAGCCGCTTCTGCTGCTCTCCGCGCATATCGATGTGGCAGCTGTTGCGCGTCACTGTGCACGCTCAGCAGCCGAGGATAAGGAAACAGAATCAGCAGGAAGAGGTGAGAGAAAGCCGGGCGTGCGATGCTGCAATGACCCACTGCGGCAGTGCAAGGCTTTGTGCTTCCTCGAACACGGAGCTGAGGATAGTGCCGGAGTGGCTTGCCGGCCCATGATTGACGGCATCCACGCAATACGGCTCCTCGTGTTTTCACACACGTTGCCCCCACCAGGCCGTCGCGACGGCACCGCACTCGAGCGGGAGGGGGCGCTTGTCGAGTTCGTTGACAGCATCGAGTACGCGTGGGATTGTTGCCACCCGGCGCGGCAGTTGACCTCCGCACCAACAAGAGCAGGAACGGGGTGGCAGCTGACCATGCAGATGGAGGAAGTGGCAACGTCCATCTTCTTTGATAGCGATGCGGTGGCAGTGAGGGCAGAGGGTCGAGACTACCGCAAAGATATCTTCTTTTATGTTGTTGACTCATCACCATCATCATCTTCATCGGTTCCCATCGCAGTTAGGGGCGAGGAGGCGGCACTCTCTTTGCGCTACCCTCTCGAGGACACGCTTGTTTACTTGTTTCTGCTTCACCACGTCACCTTCTCTGACATTCACCAGCATGCCTGGGACCACGAGCGGAAGTGCGCCATCTGCAGCCGTCTCGTGAGTCCCACAGGGCACGCGGTGGAGTTCCGCTTCTTCTTGTCGTGGCTGATCGGCAGCTACCCGCGCTTCTTTGTCAACGCCGTGTTTGCCGCCGGTCACCTGCCACGCACATGCATACAGGAGACGTTCGACCAGGAGAACCACCCCATAGGGACTACGACGGCAGCCGCAGCAGAGGAGGAGGAGGAGGAGGATAGTCCTTTGCCGCCGCCGAAGCTTGCGACGTTGTTTTTAGGTGGTTATGGCCGTGTGGAGGTGGACATTGCCCCGACTGTGTCGCGTGAGGACTTCGTGCGGCTGCGCGACACCCTCGGCCTCTCCACGACATTCCCGATGCCACTGCTGTGGAACGTCGTTATGTTCGCCACGGGTGTGGGCGGGGCGGTGCTGCGCGAGCACCAGCCGTCCTTTTCGACGTACTATCAGTCGTCCTTCACGGCGGCGTTTGAGAAAGTATTTCCATCTCACGGCACAAATATTTAACGTGGTGTGAAGAGTTGTTAACGAATGCGGGGGGAGGGGATTGGGGCCCAGTGGGAACGCAAGCATTTTTATATGGATATATATATATATATATATATATATATATGCATACGTCTGTATTTATCTGCGCGTCCATGATGGAAGGTATTTGATGGATAGTGTTATTGGTAGGTCGTGTTACTGCGCATAGGTGGGATGTGTGTCGTTTTCCCGTTGTGTGTGTTTTTTTTTTTGTTCATTTTCACCTCCCCCACGCAGTCCGCGCTTGGCAAGCGGAAGAATCTGTAGGAAGGCGGAGGAAGAGTCTGAATGCCGAGATGCGGGTTGTGCGGCCCCTTCACAAGTGAGTTTCTGCGGCGTCGTCATCGTCCTTGTTTGTGCGTGTCGCACCGCTGGCAGTGTCGACCGCGCACCACGAGCGGACATGAAAAGCACGCAGGGACCGACGAAGGCTCTAGTGACGCCCTCACAGCAGGTCTTCTTCAAATTGCGGTGACGATGTCAGGACAGAAGGCAAGCTACGCCCTCCGCTACGCATCGCAAGAGAAGCAGCAGAGGTGGCGGGCGGATGGTACATCCTCCGTCGGCTATGCGCCACAACGCACCCACGCTGACACCTCGGCACACGTGGCGCCGGAACTGCTTCGTGTGTTGCTCTTAAAGAGCCGTCACGAAGCTACTGCTGCTTCGACTGTACATCACATCGAAACTACCGCGCCACATGTGTCATCTCCAAAAAAATTAAGCGATGATGCAGGGTGTCGGTCCAGTACTCCAGCAGCCACAGCAACGGCATTGTCACAGCCAGCAGTGGTCCCCCACACTCCCTCTCTAGCGTGCCCACACGTTGCCAGGGGGTCGTCGTGGTGCGTTGCGTTTCGCCTCTTCAGTGAGGCCGTGCAGCAGCATGCCGTTGTGCCCTCCATCGAGCATATTAACGTTTTGCTTGGTATCACGGTTCAGGAGCGATGCTGGCGACAAAAGGAACAAGTGGAGATGTTTGTCGAACGGTTCCTTGAATCTGCACATGCCATGTGTCGAGAAGAGGAGCAGCATGGCCAGCAAGAAGCGGTCATTGTCGAAAACGCGGCTCTCAAGCAGTTAGTCCACTCGCTTCAGGCAACAGAAGAGACGTACGAGTGGCTTATGGAGGCCGCTGTCTCACAGCATCAGTGGGTGGAGGCATTAATGTATTTTCAAGATGCACGTGAGGATTGTCTGCCAGTGACGGATGCCTCATTGCGACTAGCACTGGAAGCCTATCGTATTGGTGGTGTCCATACCGTCATCAACACTAGCAACGCCGCCATCAACAACAAGAGTGTCACGCCGCTGGTGCCGCTGCGGACAGATCAGCGGGGGCCAGTGTTGCATCGGGCAGCAGCAGCAACCCGTCCTACCACCACCATTTCTCTCAGCAAGCAGAAGCGGACGGAGAGCGAGACGCAGTTTCTGTGGGAAGCAGCGAAGACACTTTTCCTCTCTTACCGTCACCGTGTGCGGGGGGATGGGACGGTGGCGCTCTTCCTCTCGATGATGGCGGAGGCTGGACAGCACGAGGTGTTGCTCGACGTGTACCGCGACTGCAGCCGCACGGTATGCCTCGGCGACGACGCCCTCGCCCTTGTTAGCAGCGCGTCGCGCGAGGTTGGGGACTGGGCCCTCGGCTTGCATCTACTGCAAGACGCGGTGGGACCTCACACAGGCGCTGGGGAGTCCCTCGCCAAGCGCATTCTGGAAGACACGCTGCATGCGCTTCGTCGCGCGCAGCACTACACAACGATCTTACAGCTGCATGTGCAACTTCCCTCCACCATAATGACGCCTCGCGCTCGAGTTGCGGTGGCACAGGCTGCCATGGTGCGGCGCGACCTTCCGCTGCTTCTGCGGCTGTTGGAAGAGACGGCAGACGATGCAGGGTTGGATCATGCCGTGAGTCGTTGTCACGCCGTTTTCGAGCCCAACGTCACCGCCACGCCTGCGACATGCGTGCAAGTGGAAGTGTACAACACAGTGCTGCGCGCCATTCAGGTGGAGCTTATTCGCCGGTATTTTTGTGTGGACCCGGAGGAGGTGGCCGGGTCGAGCCAGCACGCGCTGCAGGATCTCGCGGCGTTGTCCGTCGCTGTGTATGAGCGGTTCCTGTACGCCGCAAAGCGTCAGCTCCGCGCACACAGCAGTGAAGACTCCGACGCCCCTCTCTCCGTGTACGCACCGCTTGTGCGGCTGTTGGATTCCTGTGAGAGTGCCACCAGCAGTGGCCGCGTAGACGGCACGCGTCAGGCGCCGTGGGAGGCGGCACTCGCCCACGTGTCGCTCATTCGCAGGCCCGATGCCATTGTGGTGAGCCTTGCAACGGACTTGATGCGGAAGCAGCAGCAGTGGGAGGCGGCGTTCGGCCTCCTCGCATCTGTGATGCGTGAGGAAGTGGTAACACGTAGTGTTGAAGCGCCATGCCGTCGTGGTGCCGCTGTCGCACAAGAGGCGCTGCGTTACGGGTGTACCACCATTACAGCAGCTGCGGTTCGTCATGCGGTGTGCAGTGCAGCCAATGAGTCATCCGCGGCGCTGCACCTCACCCAGCACGCCTTCTCTCACGGCTGGATTGACGGTGGCATGGCGTTGCAACTTCTCGAGGGCATCCAGCGCGGGGTAGGTGATGCACACGTACAAAGAAATGACCGGGAGTGCCTGGCGGAAGGTGTGCCGCATTCCCAAACTGACGCGGTTAGCATCCTCGTGGAGCTTGTCGCTCTGCATAAGCGCCGCACAAGTGGGGTGGGTCCATTTGCATCTCTTTTCTTTGATGCGATGCAGGTGCTGCAGCACCTCCAGATAGAGACAGAGCCCCCCACCGAGTTGCTATACGCCCTGCACGCCCGCCTCGCGGAGATCGTTGCTCGTATTTCTGGGGAGTGGCAAGACGAGCGGCGGGCGGAGGCGGCGATGGCCGTAACGGCGGTGCTGCACGCTGTCTGGCAGCAGGTCAGTCAGTCAACGCTCAGCCGGTGGACGCTTTGGCAGGAGTGTCTGCGCTGCCTGGAGTGGTTTCGCAGCCCCTTGGCACCGCACCTCTCCGGTGCGTTGCCGGCGAGCGAGGCGACACTACGAGTGCTGCGCGCCTTTGTTTACCGCTGCGATCGGCCCGAAGAAGGTTTTGTAGAGGGAGTTGCGGTGCGTTGGCTGCTGTGTGGGGCATCGCCCCTGTGCACAGAGGTTCTCGTGGCTTCGTTAGACGCGGCGCCGGGTCTTGTGGATCGCACGGTGTGGATGTCGCATGAGCTGCTTCTGGATGCGCTTGTGTGGGCCAGCCGTCACCGCACAAAGACGCTGGTGCGGCGGATTGTGCGGCTCCTGTTGCCGTTTCTCTCGCGGCTTCTCCGAAACGATGGAGCAGTAGCTGCGTCCCCAGAAGGGCCGCATGGGCGTTTGCGTTCAGAGGCGGTAACGGCGGTGACCATTGTTCTCCAGTGTATGACCAGCGGTCCGCACCAAGAGGTTCTGAATGACTGGCCTCTGGTGCGTCTGTTGCTGGCGCAGGTGATGCAGACGCACGAGTTGGCCTCCTCAACGGCTGGGGTGAGTGCCCTTGCGGAAGGGTTGGCTGCTGTGTTGGACAAACTGCGCCGCACCTTTCACTTTCTCATCGTCAAGATCTCGCTGGACGCGCACCGGCGTCGTAGCCAAGGAGGCGAGAAAACGGCGGTCGCGGTTGCTTCAGATGCTGAAGACCTGGAGAATCTTGTGGAGGACGCAGCACTTGCGTACATGGATCTCTGCAGGGCTTTTCCGCAGAACTTCTTCGCCGCTATCGGTGACGGTTGTGTGGCGCAAGGTGATGTGGCCAGATGCCTTGAGAAGGTATTGAACTGTGTTTGGGATGTTAACTACACGTTGTACGTCTGGCACACGTCTTTTAGCCCAACAACATGCAAAAAGGGCTTCTTGCAGCTTCTGCAGGATCGCTACCGCTGGCTCCTGTGCTTGCAGGTGTCGCTGCTCCCCGTGTCATGCACAACGCCGCTGTGCGTGGAGCGGTGGCTGGTTGTGATGAGCCGCGGCAGTGTGGATGCAGCAACAGCAAGGGGGACGAGTGGGAATGCTCTGTCAGCCTCGTTGGTGCATGACATCACAACACTGGAGGCATGGCAGGACTGTCATACGGAAGTGCTTTCGCCAGAGGTTTCACCACCACCACAACAACAACAACAACTCTCGCGACGGCAGTTTGTTGTTCCACGCGTTCTCGAGGCAATTCACTCCATCACATGCGGGGTGACGGGGCGAACCGTCTCCTCCTCCTCCGGTTTGTTGTTGCCAACAACGGGGTTGGCAGCTGCTTCTACTTCAATTCCGACCAGAACGCTCCCTCCACTTGTAAACGGGCGTTCAGCAAGTTCGCTATTTGAGGATCACCTCGCGTTGGTGTCACCACAGCAACTGCAAGCCATGCAACAAGCCGGCTGTACGCTTGTCTACGTGATGCTGTGTGAGGGGCGAGCGCATCTGCCGCAGATGTTGCTTCAATCCATGTCGTGGTCGTGCTGCCCGCGATCACTTTTGGGTGCGATTGTAGAGGCGGCGCAGTCCACCTCGCGTGTGGGGTTAGCGGCCGCCTGGAACAGTGACGCGCTCGTTTCCGTGTTTGACGCATTGGGGATGCAAAGTCGATATTGGGTTTCCGTTGGAGACGCGACGTGTGCCGTGCAGGATGGGGTGAGGGAAAGTCAGGCAGCAGCACTGCTGCGTCTCTTGACGACGTTGCCAGCTGTCCGCGCGGTGGCGCGTGTGGACGAGGCGATATGCACCGCGGCGCTGCTGGCGTTGGAGCCGGCGGATGTTGCGGGCGACAAGGTGGGGCCTGGCGCCAGTGTGAGGCACACCCTGTGTCGACTCCTTTCCGCCTTTCCAAAGATTGTGGAGAAGCGGTTGTTGTCGCTACTTCTGGGCGGGCAGCTACACGAGTCCCAGATGTGCGTGGTCGACGCCGTTGTGCGGCACATTGCACATGACTTCAGTGGCAGGCGCTCATTCACGTGCAGCCCGGCGTTGATGCGGGCGAGTGCAATGTGGCTGCTGCTGCGCGGCCCCCACGAGGCGTCTCGCGCTGCGCCCCATTGCGCTGCGGCGCCGCAGGTTTTCGCCGAGGTGATGCTTTCGGCCAGCCCGACTCTAATGGTAGGCGGTAGAATGAAGGCGATTCGACACAAGCTGGAGCATCACGCCGCTTGTCGTCGCGAGGAACTGGAACGGGCGATGCGGGGGACACACATGGAGCAGGTGCTGTCTCTCCTCACCGACGCGCGTGGGGCCGCCGCCCCTCACGTGGATCTCGTGGGGGCGTTTCTTGCCGCAATGGAGTTTTACGGTGGGTCTGTGCCGCCGCGGTGGAAAGAGGAGTTTGTTGTGGGTCTCATGGAGCAGTGGCAACGCAATCGTTGTCGTGGCGACAGCCATTGCGGCCACCCTTGTTCACTCATTGGCCTTCTCGATGAAGTGGCGCACATGCCTGCGCTGTGGAAGTCGTTTCTGATGCAGCATCCGGTGAAGGCGTCGGAGTTGTGGCAGCTCGGAAAGATGATGGACGACGCACTCAGGCAAGCACGAGTGGAGCACGCAGATGCACATACCGATGTGTGGAGAGCTGTGCTTGCCCACATGCGGCAGTTGCTGCGGGATCGCTCCACGACAGCCGATAATCGTCCAGCTGGGGAGGTGGCGTTGCGGTGCATCTCTCGGAGCTGCGCAGCGGTGGAGCGCTTCGTTGTGCACATGCTGCGCCATGGCGTAAGTGCGCCGTCACCGCTGGAGACGCGGCCGTTTGACGTTGATGTGTCACTTGTAGCCTTGTCGTTGCTGTTGCTGGTGGAGCTGGCGGCGCCTGGTCGTGCGGTGCATTTTGCCCTTCACAGGCTCTACGATGAGACTCTCGTAGATGAGAAGGCGTTGAATAGCATTAGTAGTCGGAGTGGTGATGGCAGCCCGCCCGTCTCAGCACCGCACGATGTGTGGCGGTCTCTTGTTGCGTGTGAGGTGCAGTTCTTGACGCTGCCTGGTCTCATTGATAACGATTCTGCTGTTGCTGACTATGATGCACCGGTGTGGGACGCGTTAACCACAACGGAGGCGGTTGTTGAGCTTCTTTTTCGTTTTGTCTGTGGAATTGCACTGCGTCTTGGATTTACCGCTGCTGTTGCTGCCGCTGCACGTGGTGGCAATAGGGGAGATGGAGAAGCAGAAGAGGAGGAGGAGCTGCTGCGCCTGCTGGAGCTAAGTGGACGGCGTGTTGTATCATTGCTGCTCGCGCTACTCTCCGACACAGCGGGGGCGGCTCTCTTGCAAGAGAGGCACGGTGACGCCGTGCGATGCATTGTTGGCCGTTTGGTGCAATCCGCGTTGTTGGTGGGTGCGTGGCGAGACATTTACTGGTTGGCGTCGCGCCTACTGGTCTCGCTTGGGACAGCGCTTGCACGACAGAAAAGCGAACAGGAGCAGGAGAAATTTGCCTCGTCGTGGTTGTGGGTCGTTGGGCTCCTGCCCTCAATGGTGGCCGGTTCCGCTCGTACTACCAGCAGCCTTGAGCCGCAAATCACTAATCTTGTCGAGGCGTTGCCGTTGGCAGTTTTGCAGCAACTCCACTTTGCCTCTTCCGATGCCGCTGATCACGACGGTGGGGGATATGATGGCGATGCCGAGACACGGCGGCGGCGGCAGCTTCGCTGTTTGCTTCTTAAGCTCCATCAAAAGATTCTGCTCAAAACAGCGGGGGTGTTGCGGGGTGCAGAGAAGCGATCGGGGCCTTTCATTGAACGTCTCTCGCTTGTGCAACCCCTAGTGCAGCTAGGGGTGCTTCTCGCAGTACACAATGCCGATTGTGCGCAGGTGGCAAGTCTCCGTGTGTCATTCCTCTTTTTCTTGAGCGACCAGGAGTGGTTACAGCTCGTGGAGTCTGTAGCGGCAGAGTCGGACCGGACTTCTTCTGCTGCTGTAGCGGCTGTGGGCAGTTTTTCAGTCACCGGCACCGGAGGAGTCTTGCAAGTGGCGTGCTGGCAAGAGGCTCTGACTGTGATTTGTCGCACGCACAGAGAGACGTTCGCTGTTCTCCCCCATAAGCGTCAGCGCGGCAGAGCTGTGGGCAAAGAGCTGCAGGAGTTGCAGGATGCCTTGTGCGTCTTCCATGCGGCATGTATCGCGAATGAGGTGCCTTTCTCTGTTATGATGAAGCTCTTCTGCGATGACAATGGCCCGCCGCACACGGCCCAGGTATTTCCTGCCTTCTACACGGAGCGTGTGGTCCGCCAGTGCCCTTCATGGTCCGCGTCGCTGCGCCTTCTGGAGCAGTCGCTGTCGACGGTGCGGCACCCGACACAGGTGCAGCAGCTGTTGGCGTATCTGATCCTTCAGCGCATGCGCACTGATCCCGCCTGGGCGTCGTCGTCGTCGTCGGCAGCAGCAGCGGCGCTACCCACACTGTCATCGCCATTATTGTTGTCGTCATCATCATCATCATCATCATCACCGGTGCGTGGTAAGGATGAGGGCGGTGGGCTGTTGTCGTGGGAAGTGGCGTGTTGGTGTTACCAGCAGTTAACGTGCGATGCGGTGGCGCCACCTCTTCCACAGCGGAGCATGATTGAGATGTTACGTCACTGCGTGTTCAAGCCCTCTGCTGCGCTGGCTATGTACGAGGCGTACTGGCGACAGGGCTACCATCGTACAGAGGGGGTTAATGTGTTTCTCTCACTCTTACGGGCCGCACGCCTAGAGCGAAGTGAGTCGATGGCGCTGCAAGCAATGCGGGATTACATTTGCTGCTGTGATGAGCATGATCGTGTTCTGTCCGAGGCGAGCCCCGGGACCCGCAGGCATCACATTTTTACTTCCGAAGGAAATACATCGATATGTCGCTCCTTTGCTCGTGTTTGTGAGAGTGGCATCGTCTCTCGTTCGGTGGCAGCAGAAGTGGCGGCCGCGTTGAAGCAGCGAGGCCGCATTGGTGATGTTGAGGAATTATTAATGGTTGGGCCATGCCGTGAAGGACAAGTAGTTGCCACGAATACTAAAGGCAGCAAAGGCCGCCTCCCTGGGCGATGACGATGTCTGTCTCTTCCTCTCTGAGCGGGAGGTGTATCGCAGGACCATTGGTTTGGGCCTCAATTTGTGGTTATTTTTTTTTTTAGTTGTTGTTGTTGCCTGTGGCCTGTTCTTACGCCCTTATAGCTCAAACACAAACACATATATTCCTCATCGTTTTACCGTTATGTATGCGCTGCTGCCATGTACTCCCATTGTTGGGTTTTTTTTTCTTGAATGCCTCGCCTTCTCTGTCTTTCTCTCTCTCTCTCTCTCTTTCTCTCTTATTGTGTGTGTACGTGCGTGTGGCAGAGTGAGCGGGGGAAGTAAGCCCCAGCCGATGTGGAGGCGCTGCTGGCGGCTGCTCGGGTCAACGAACCGCTACACCGACGGCTCGGGGCGGCGGCTGGACACGTCTGAGCTCCCCAGCGAGTTATACCTGCAGCCCATCAGCAACCGCGCGTACCCAGTTCAGGGTGAGCACTGGCAGCCCGTCGTCGCCGGCGAGCCGTCCCCGCAGAAGGGCAATGTCATCATATCGGGTGGGGGAGTTGTGGGCATGACAGTGGCCTCGCTGTTTGCTCTGCGGGGCTGGCACACAACAGTCATTGAAAAGAACCCCTCTGTGCTGGAAGTTCCGTCCATTGGCGAGACGGGGGATACGAAGGGTGCCTCGCGGCCGTGTTGGGGCTCCTCTCTCGGGCTCCAGCACGCCCTCGTTACGCGTCGCGCAGCAGATGCGCTGGAGGCGGCAGGCTTGTCAATTCGTGATGTGCGGCAGTGCGGCGTGCCTGTGTCAGGCGTCATGGATCACCCCGGGGCGTACAACAGTTGGCTGACGCGCGGCCTCACAGAGCACCACCCGTTCGCGCTCAAGATGTTGGCGGTGGATTTGCTCGAGCTTCGTAAGGTGTTGGAGCAGCATGTGCATGCGCTGCCAACCGGTAACTGTCGCCTGTTCCACCAGCACGTGGTGGAGGCGGTGTATCCGCTGAAGCAGCAGCTCGTCGTCAAGCCTGTCCACGAAAGTCAGGTGTACGCGCGGCGGGCCCAGATGGTGACGCCCAAGAGCGGCAGTGTTAGTAGTGGTGGTGCTGCGGAGAGTGGCGATGATGGTGATGCAAACGAAATTGTGGTACGGCGGAGTGATCGCATGGAGACGAGCCTCACACTCCACCGCATCAAGTGGGAGAAGAGGTTTGCCAGCGAAGCGGTAAATTACGACCTCCTCGTCTCTGCCGAAGGGGTGGACTCGCACCTGCGGAATCTTCTTGACGTGGAGGGATTCGCTGCCGATGTCGACTTTGGTGTGCGGTGGTTCCTGCTCAAGAGCACACGATTGAGTCACACGCACATCCACCGTTGGCTGCATAAGCGAAGGGGTGCGATTGCGCAGCCGTATGAGGTCCAATCACCATGTCAGGTGCCTCTGGCTATTGCTTTCCCACGACGCCAAAAAGAGGCATCTAGCGAGGAGACGGTTTATGCTAACAACAGCGAGAATCATTTTGACAGCTTCGCCCTCATGACGTATGCGCCCATCACAGAACTTGAGCGCCTTTCAGATGAGGAAGTGCTGCGCACGTTCTGCCCAGACCTTGTGCAGAATGATGGCACGTGCCGCATCGTTTCGTTCACGCAACGTGCGGTGCCTCACCCGACGGTTTACTGTGAAAACCTCTTTAACAGCGTCGGTCTTCCCTCCGCTGTGGTGATTGGCGATGCCGCCCACGCGTGCAATCCCTTCTGGCTACAAGGCTTAGCAATGGGCCTCGAGGATGGTGTAAATCTGCTCAATCAGGTGGATGCCTACTCAAAACATTTCTACGATGCCATTAAACAGTACAGTCAGGAGCGTGGCTGCGGCGGCGATGCACTGCGGGAAATTACAGACCGGTGCCTTTATTACGAGCGGGCAAAACATATCAACCCGCTTGTGCGCTTTCAGAACAGTTACCAGCGCGCTATGAACTTTATTGTTCCAGGAATGTTTAACGAGTTCTACTCTGGTGCGTCTGTCAACCACGTGTACTCCAAAAGTATGGAGGAGATGTTAAATGGTCGCGGTTACACATCGTATGAGTACGCTGAAAAACAACAGGCAAAACACCGGGCGTTTTTTCACATTGGTAGGGTGTATACTTAAGGGTTGATGTCGTCGTTGTTGGTTCTTTGTATATATATGTACATATATATATATACAAGGATATATGTGTGTGTGTTTGTGTTCGATCCACTATTTGGTTCATGGCGAATAGTAAAATCGTGGGATGTCTTCTTTGCCGTGAAGACGATATGTTGCTTTGCTGCCGTTTACCTTTTTTTTAATCTGTCTCTGTATATATATATGTGTGTGTGTGTGTGTTTTGCTTCTGTTTTGTGGCTGTGTGGTCCGCATGTTCGTTTTGTGCTGTTATTTGTTGGTGTTGCCGCCCACCTCTCATCATTGGTTTTGGTGTCATTGGCACGGACAAGGAACGACAGTGCGCAGAAGAGAGGTGGGAAAGTCATATGTCGTCTGAGGGATTCCGTTTCTCCTTTGCAGAGGATGAGCCAGACGTGCCACCTGCAGGAGGCACAGGTCCTTCTTCAGCAGAGGCGGTCAATGTGGTGTCGTTGTTGCAGCTTCCTATCTACACGCTGACGCCACAGTTGTTGGAGGAGTGGATGGCGCAGTACCCGGAAAAGCCACAAGACAGGATGAAGCTTTTGTCTACCACATCAGCAGAGGCAGCCGCATGGGTTCAACCATTAATGTACCAGCGTGCACCGCATGTGGCGGAGCTCACTGCAGCTGGCAATGATGAGCAACGGGACATCATTCCAGGTAAGTACTATGGCGGGTTGAAGGTGTGGTCGTGCGCACCCTATCTGGTGGAGTACATGTTCGAGAACCGCAATATGTTTGCGAGACTCTTCGCGGGTACCGCGAAGCCCTCGAGTGAAGAAGAAGAAGGTGCACGAGTGCAGGTCGCTGACGGTTTTTCAGATGACCCTATCGTTGCCGAAGTGGGTTGTGGGCAAGGACTTCCTGGTATCGCTGCCCTTCTCTTAGGGGCGCGCCGGGTGATCTTCCAGGACTACAACGAGGAGGTCCTGCAGCTGTGTGTTAAGCCGAACATTGCGGTGAATATGTTGCTTCACGCTAAAGAGTCTGTGTTGTGTCATCATCATCATCATCAGCAGGAGCAGGAGCAGCGGTGCCCTCCGGTGGTGCAGATGGTGTCTGGTGACTGGAGCTCTCTGCGATGGCAGGGGGAAGAGGATGGGCCAGCAACGGCAGCACGCGAGGTGCGCTGCAGAGTGGTGCTTGGGAGTGATGTGACCTTCGATGAAGAAGCGTGCGAGAAGTTAGCCGATATGTTGGGGCGCTGCTTGTGCCCGTTGGGCGGTGTCGCGTACATCGCGACCAAGCAATACTACTTTGGCACCAACGGCGGGGCGCTTGAGTTCCAGAAGCGCGCCGAAAGACGTGGGCTTGAGGTTTCTGAAGTGAGTCGCGCTGATGCGGTAGGGGGAATGCAGCGATTAATTATGCGTGTGAGGCACCCAGATCAAATGACAGCAACATGAGGAAGAATGACGGTTTAGCAGCAAAAGGTCACAATGCGTGCGCGAGCTGTGCGTTTGGTGTTGGTTGGCAGGAGGAATGTTCTTAATATTTTCTTCAGTCCTTCTCGTTATTTTTGTTTTGGGGGGTTGTTGAGTTTATTTATTTCCTCCATTAATGTTTTTTATTTGAGTAGTTTTCACACAATCACAGGTAGTGCCGCGTGGATGGGGCGACACAAGGGGGCGTCGTCAGCGGCAAGTGAAGATGATCACTCGAACAACGAGATGTCCCAGGTGACGCTCCACCCCACGGGCCCTCCAGTAGCACCACCACCTCCGCGTGAGATTAAGGTTGGACCAACGCTTGTCCTCGGACTCACTCTCTTCGTGGCTGTGCTGCTGGCCGTCTCGGTGGGGGCGCCGTGGTTGCGAGTCGATCAATATGCTGTAGGGCCCAACGGGGAGGATGTGATGGAGATGTTTGGCCTTTGGAGGTCTGTGCGTAAAGAGGGCGACGTTACAATAACAACAACGACAAGTGACATTGAATGCGCAGCGAGGCAACGACGGGTGCGGGCATTGGAGGCGTTGTCGATTCTCTCGTTGGTTGTTGCGTTGATCACTGTCGTTGTGGCTATTGCAAACTACCGGGCTGATAATAAAAAACCTCGTGTTCGTTTAGCTGCCATTTGCTGTGTTGCTGCAATCTTCATCTGCATAACGGCGGAGTGCGCCGTTGGAATTAATGTGTACACATGGACCTTTGCAGGATGCAGCACTGAAGCAAGCTATCACTCCCGCCTTTTTGAGCCCTACGTTGGATTTGCCTTCACTCTTACGGCGTGGGCGCTCAGCTCCCTGGCAGGTATTCTTGTCTACAATAATCCTGTCGTTCAGGCAGACGCCCGCTCTATTGATGGGGGAGCCACTGTGTTTACCGCATTCTCTTTTATTGCATTATTGTTCGTTGTGGTGGCTTGCCCGATTCCCCAATGGTTCTACAAGGATGGCATAAATATGACAGTAACAGATGTCTTCTTGTGGAAGGAACGCTACGGCATTCTTTGGAATACCACCGCCCCAACCACGTCTACCGCAGTGTGGGACCTTGGTTGCGATTCAGTGGCACGGTACTTCCACGCAACAGAGGCGCTTAGCATTATTTCTATATTTCTAGGTGCTTGTGCAGTTGTTACAGGTTTTCTCTTGTGTAAAGGACTTGCCGGGGCCACAAATGTAGCGTTGGCGTTCGGCTATATGACGGTAATCGCGACACTTGTCGAATGGACTCTGGCGCTACGTATATATTACGGCAGTTGGTGTGGCAATGCCATCGCCTACCAGACGAAAAAGTATGTTTTGTCAGCTGGCTTTGCATTAAGCGTAGCAGGTTTTGTGATTATGGCCCTCGGGACAGGGGTTTTGACGGTTGCTGAGGTCATTCGGCGACGATATTTTCCGTCAACTGCACCTAAGAAGACGTTTACTGAGATTGTTGTTGAAATGAGTATGTAGGACTGAATGTTCAAGCAATTATGGCCCTGTTTGGGTTAGGTTGCTTGTCGAACTCGATTTGGGGGTTGTATTCATTTCTCTCAAGTTCTTATTTCCCTCTCTGTGGGTGCACCTGCGACGCTTTGGTATTTATTTGTTTTTTTTTCTATTTCAAGTGGCTTTCTGTACCTCGTACGTCACTTAATATCTTCTTCTTTTCCCTCACCTTTGCTTGCTTGCTTCCTTGCTTGTCTCTGTGCGTTTGCGGTGTAAAGTGCAGTGTGGAACAGCACCAATGGATGAAAAGTCCTTTACGTACATTCTCACGCCAGCCACTTCAACGCGCGAGTGCGTTCACCGCGTTTTGTGTAAAGATTTACCCTCACTTGAAGAAGCCGTTGAAAGTTCAGAGAGAATGTCAGGAACTTGGCTGGTAGAGCGCGATGAATTCGTCGACGAGGTTCTGTCTGGTTTTGACCGGACAGCGAAGTGCCGCTCTTTTTCCCGCGATAATAGCAGCAGCAGCAGCAGCGGTCGCATTCGCATCAGCACCGTTAAAGAATACTCGTCGCCTGGTGGATGCATTCTGCCCGAGACGGTGGAAGCGAGGGGAAATGTACATTCAAAAAGGGTACCGCCTTTCTTTGAAGAGGGTGTGTGGCCGCTTGTCTGGGCGCAGTTTGAGCGCGATATACGCCGAGAGACGCTCTTAATCGACGGCACCCTGGAGGATGATGCGGTCAGAGCGCTGGATCGCATACAAGCTCTGTTACTTGATGCGTATAATTATCAACTACCCCACAACACTGGCGACGCTATATTGAGCACTGGTGAGAATCCCGAAACGAAAGGGTTTTTCTCCGGGCTCTTCACGACGGCGCGTGGCTTGGCCCGACGGGTGCAATCTGCATATGCTGAAATGAGTAAGTGGCGTGCAGTGGCCGATGCTTTGCGTCTTGCTGTCCTGATGTCGCAGCAAACCGTATTGGCTTTACCAGTGGAAATCCTAAATGCACAGTTTTGTGAGCCGTCGCGTGATAGTTCTGGCAGTGATCGAGGTGAAGGGCAAACGGTCTACATTGGAGAGCCCCATGTAGGTAGTGCAAAACGTGGGGAAGCACCCTCTCATCCAGATGAAGAGGCGAGGGGAAGAATGATAGTGCATTTGGCGCGCCGCGACCGTGGTAATAGACTTCCCTTTGTGTGTGTTGAGAAGTCGCTGCATGTCTCCACGGTGGACGAAGCCGCGAACCATTCGACCAAGCTGCGGCTTTGGATAGCCGTCCGGGTTGACCTTTTCACCAAAGACCACGTGGAGTTGAACTGGGAGTGGCGCCGGCCCTGACCCACTTTCGGCGGGCAACCTGTTGTTTGCCATCTTGCTTTGCATATCGAGGAACTTTTGGAGGCGAGACGGAAAAAAAGATAGCTTCGGCTCAACCACACCGCTCTCGCAAGTGCAAAAAAAA